ATAATATATATATATATATATATATATATATATAATAGTCTGGAATTTTTGAAAGAGTAAAAAACTCTTTGATACGACGACTGTAAATTTGTATACAGAGCAAAGGTGGCCATTTCGAGTATCCTTTACGAAGATAAGCAGTTCTGGGTTATTGAAATACAAAAAGTGGCTATAACTGAAACAAGATTGAATAGGATAAATGTTCATATAAACTTTTTTTATTATTTTTGTGTCCCCTCTCTATTCCTGAATTAGGTTCCATATATTACAAAACACCCTGTACACACATACACACACAAGGAAGAAAAGATCAATATTCTGGAAAATGATATTGATTATTTTAAACAAAAATGTTTATACAAACATGGCTATACAAACGTGTATTTCGAATGATTTTCAAGATAGTTTAAATTTGTAGCAATGTCATCAACTCCACCAAGATCTCAAAACCTGATCCCATTGGATTCTTGTTTATGAAATTAAATGAAAAATAAAGTATATAAAAGAAAAATGAATATAACGAATTGCTCATTCACGTAATTAATCCTAGATAGCACAAAATCCAAAATCGGTGCATAAGACATCTTAAAGACATTTTTGTAAAAAATATATAGAAGATCTCTTTTTAGATATCTTTTATATATTAAAAAGTATAAGAAAATGCCAATCAAAGCCAATACAGTCTTCGTGAATAATAATAATGTATTCCATAAGAAGTAAATTTACAAACGTTTCGATCCTCTGTTTAGGATTATCCTCAGTAAGTACAATATAATAATCACGATAGGAAACCGGAACGCTGTTACGTACGTACATCTTGCATCGCTGCGCCGTTATGAATTAAATGGATAAAACATTGACTTTGCAAAGTAGTACAAATAATCAGACTAATTAGATAAGAGAAATTCATCATAGTATATAAAAGTCAACAAAATAATTTAAACATAGAGGATAATAAAAAAATAAATATAAATAAATAACAATATAAGATTAATAAGAGTGCCAGCTAATTACCAGAAAAATTAAAGTAAATCTATGTGATGCAGACTGAACCATATAAGTCGATTAATAAAATTTTAACGTAAAATTATGACAAGGTAATATCTTACTTATAGAGGCAACAGCACAAAAAAACAGCATAGACAGTACGCAGTATAATGAACTTCTGATGACAAGCAAATATGTAATAGAATTAGAGACAGAAACTTCAAGAATTCGTAAATAATGATTTATAGAAAGGGTCGAGAAGCTCGGTGTCCGTTTGCAAATTCAAAGCCTGTTTTTTGTTGTGTATGAAAATCATTTCAGATATCAATCTTTTTTGTAAATTATTTTTCGTGTTATTAATTATTTTTCAATACCTTTACACCATCTCAATCGAAATCATGAGACATGTTAATCCTATGATTCGTGATAATGTTGTGTCGAATGTTGTGTGGTGTTTCTATTAATATGGTTTTTATATTCTAATACCCTGGTTTTTAGAAGTCTCCCTGCCTGTCTCGTGCGAGGCCTCACAATTTTTACAATTAATTTTATAAACTACATCAGAATGTGAACTTAACGTAATTTGTTTTTTTGAGCTCTGATAAATTTGTTCAACTTGTTCAAGTCTTTGTATGCCATTCTGACATGATTATTTATAAAAAGTTTCTTAAACTTCTCAGAGATCTTTTTAACGAATGGAATGGTGAAAAATAAAGGTTTATCATTGTTCTGTTTAATAATCTTTTAATGCATATCACCCGAGATTAAAATTTACTATTGAGATGGGAGAAGACAAGATAAATTTTCTAGATATCACTTTGATTAAAAAGCGGAACTTTCTTATTTATAATTGGTACTAAAAACTTTTTCAGCAAGGTACTACTTGAATTATTATTCGTGTCATCCATTGCCAAAAAATCGGCACAATAATTGGTCTGATTGAGACAGAGTTCTATTATTGTCTCATCCTGTTTTTTTTCATCAAGAAAATTTCAATAAAATTATTAATATATTCTTGGCCAATGGATATCTTTTGAAATTAATCCTTGATAAGATAAAAAAAGCATAAATTCCGCAATATTAACTTTTTTAACACTAATAACGACATTGATAAACAGAACAATGATAAACCTTTATTTTTCATCATTCCATTCATTAAAAGATCTTTGAGAAGAATCTTTTTATAAATAATCATGTAGTCAGAACAAGTCAGGCTTGAACAAGTTGAACAAATTTATCAGAGCTCAAAAAGACAAATTACCGTTAAGTTCACATTCTGATGTAGTTTATAAAATTAATTGTAAAAATTGTGAGGCCTCGCACGTCAGACAGGCAGGAAGACTTCTAAAAACCAGGGTGTTAGAACATAAAAACCATATTAATAGAAACATCACACAACATTCGACACAACATTATCACGAATCATAAGATTAACATGTCTCATGATTTCGATTGAGATGGTGTAAAGGTATTGAAAAATAATTAATAACACGAAAAATAATTTACAAAAAAGATTGATATCTGAAATGATTTTCATACACAAACAAAAAACAGTTTTGAATTTGCAAACGGACACCGATCTTCTCGACCTTTTCCATAGATCATTATTTACGAATTCTTGAAATTTCTATCTCTAGTTCTATTACACATTTGCTTGTCATTAGAAGTTCATTATACTGCGTACTGTCTATACTGTTTCTTTGTGCTGTTGCCTCTATAAGTAAGATATCACCTTGTCATAATTTTACGTTAAAATTTTATTAATCGACTTATATGGTTCAGTCTGCATCACATAGATTTACTTTAATTTTTCTGATAATTAGCTGGCACTCTTATTAATCTTATATTGTTATTTATTTACATTTATTTTTTTATTGTTATCCTCTATGTTTAAATTATTTTCAGTTGACTTTTATATACTATGATTATTTCTCTTATCTGATTAGTCCGGTTATTACTTTTGTACTACTTTGCAACGTCAATGTTTTATTCATTTAATTCATAATGGTGCAATGATGCAGGATGGAACATAACAGTGTTCCCGTTTCCTATCGTGATTCTTATATTGTACTTATATTAAGAATGATCCTAAACAGAGGATTGAAATATTTATAAATTCATTTCTTATGTAATATGTTTTTATTCATATTTTTACTCACAAAGATCCTGTGTTGGCTTTGATTGACATTTTCTTATATTATTTCATTATTTATTTCACCAAAACCATAACTTATACCATTTAATCTTTTATATATCTTTTGCACATTTCAATTTTAAATTTTGTCTCTAAAATTTATTACCCGCATAAAGGAACATTATAATGCATACAGACTCAACAATATATGTTTTCTACCATAAAAGTTAAAAAATGCATTAATGTTAATAATTTTGTTGAAAATTTTGGAAAATTTGTTATAAACTGTAAACAATATACTGTTTGAATAATAAATTATTAAAAACAATGTAGTATTTTTTACAGTAATTTTGCCACATTCAATCTTGGAAACCGTTCGAAATAGAAATATATGTTCGTATGAAAATTTTTGCTTAAAATAGTCAAAACTATCTATTGATTTTTCCTCCCAGATATGTATACGAACATAGATAGTCTCGCTTTGGAAGAGTTTCTTCCTAAGGATGAAAAAGTAGTCTGGAAACTCTTTTTTTTCCAAGATATAAGTATGTTTACTTATGATTATTTTAAGAGTCTTCAAAACTTACTTAAAGGAATTAATGAAAATGATTTTTTTCTGCAACAATATCTGTGTTTCAAAGACTCAAAAATTTTTGGTGTAGTCCGAGTTTTATAACATGCAGTAATCCGATTTTTTAATTTTTCTAGGATATAGTATTATCATAAATATTATTATCAATAGCATTATTATTACATAAACTAAATCTTTAGACTAGTATCTCTACAAATAAAAATTCAAAGAAATTAGATTAGGAGAACGTGCAGACCGTGTAATTGATTCTTTTTTGCCAATCTACTGACTGGTATAATTGTTAATATATCCTGTCTTCAATGTCAGAGTATGCTTTATCTTACTTTTAATAGAAAAAAACTCACTTCTCATAATTCTACATATAACAGCTATTCATGAAACATTTCAACGTAAACAAAACTTGTTTGTATCTCGGAAAAGAAGTACTTTTAAATATATTTTATATATATATATATATATATATATATATATATATATATATATATATATGACTTTTTTCTTTCAAAAGAATAGACACTATCAAAATAAGATCATCTATTTCAATGTCATTCTGCAAATAATGTTCAATGATTTTTAAGATTTTTTTTATGAATTTAAAAGGTTAAAAAGAGAATGTTTGTTTTTTATAACTAAAAAAACGTTATAAAAAATCAAGATTTGAATTTGTATCATTTAAATTTTATCGTTTTGCATTTTTTAAATGGCATTATACAATTTTTTTTGTAATATTGTAAGGATCTTTCTAAATAAATTGAATGTATTAAAAATTTGAAAATGTCACTATTTATGTTAATGTTCATTGACATTTGATTGATTTTATTGATATTTAATGTCAATTTGCAACATTATTTTAAATAGTAGTATTTATGAACTTTGACTAGAAATATAAACATAAACATTGAAAAGTTCTAGAACCATTTTCGCATTGTAAATATGTATCTAATATCTATCAAATAATCATTAATAAAAAAATTGTAACTAAACAAATATTCCAATTGCTTGCCTTTTTTACACACATACACACACATATATATATACACGTACGCGCATATTCAAATTAATATTTAGTATAAATTAAATTAACATTGTTAATAGGTATCATTATGTTTCAAAAGTCATAGAAGTAATAAAGAAAAGCCATCTATCGTCTGAATATGGAAGATTAATGCCTTAAATCTAAAAGCTATTGTGGAAAAAGGATATGAAAAAACTAAAGGTATAATTTACTTTTTAATATATATTGTTTTTATTAATTATATTGAATTAATAAGAATAAGAATATTTTTAATATAAAATGTAGACATGATACAGAATTAAATTATTAAAATTTGTTTCCAGAATAATGAAATTTACATTTATATTTTTTATTATATTTTAATATTTTTTATTAGCAGTTCCTAAAACTTTTTACTTATGTTATTACTTCCATCAATTTCTCTATTCTTGTTTTGTTATAAATATAAATCTTTTCAAATAAAAAACCGAAATTATCCTTATGAATAAGCTTTATCATTTAAATATTTTTATGAATAATCTTCCTGTTCACTATCTGCTTGCTGCATAGATGCCATTTGTGTAACAGCTTGTAATTGTTGCCACTGTTGCTGTTCTGCAACGGCTTGTTCCTCTCTTGCTTTAGCAAATAACTCCTGCTGTTGTCGTAATAATTCCTCTTCTGGAATTCCTAAATTCTCTAATCTAGTACTTTGACGTCTTCTTTTAGCCGCAACAGCTTTGCAGTCTCGTAATACAGCTTCTGCTTCTGCATTGTAATCACCAAAGCCTAATTTCTCAAGTGCTTGCAGAACATGTTCTGCGTTTATAGTTTTTTTTGTTGTTGATTACAAATTTCATTCGCTTCAGAAGAAAGCAAATGAATGAATTCCGTACAGCAGTTCAAGATGAGTTCTCTAGATTCGTTTGCAACTCGCACATGAGGCAAGATTTCCTTGATTATTTTGTTAATTGATGCACGAGGAAGCGTAAGCTCATCATCGTCAGTTGGTGACATCGCAGCCGAGGCCATCTGAATTCTGGAATATTAAGACATTAAAAAATATTTAGAATAATTCAAATTAGATCAAATTAGATTATGATTTTAAGATATATATTTACATTCGATAAAACATATGTATTAATTTTTGTATAAATAAGAAAGAAAATAGAAAGAAAATAAATCTGCTTTTTAATTTTTATTGTGATCATTATTTAATTTACAGAATTAAAAATTATATAGTCCTAATATTTTTTATAGTTTTCCAATTAATATTTCACTAAATATTAACATGTAATTTTAGAATGACAAGTTTGTGTGTATCAGTTTATTATAGAAAATTATAAGATTCTGATATACTTATAATTATCAGATAAGAGTTATCCAGATATATGTTTCGTCAAAGATAAATCCTATTTGAACTTTGAAACTGAAGTAGTATTATTGAACGAAGCGTACATCTTGTTGCTATAATAAAAATATAAAGTGGTAATAAAAAATACATCTAAATTGTTTAGATAATGATCATATCATAAAATGACATGTTTACAGTGTAAATGGATTTTATTTTATGATATAATTGTATTGCTTTTATATTTTAATATAACATGTGCAAAAGACATAAAAAATACAAAATTTGCTGGTATTGTGGAAAATATTACAGTATATGTTTTAGAAGATGAAAATTATTTTAAAAGCAATAATATATTAAAATCATTGAAATTAAATGTATCTTGGACACCACCAAATAGAGGAAAACAACCTTCTTCATATAGGTGCATTTTATTATTTAACTTAAATTAATAATAATTATCTGTCATATAAATTAAAAGAAAATTTTAACATATTACAGTATTATGATCACAAGTATTCCAAAAGAAATTGATATAAACAAAACAGAATGTACAGAAAGTTCTGCATTTTATACTGTGCAAAATCAAAGCCCATATAGCATATTAATACCACAAAATAAATTGTTAAATGATATGCCGGAAATACAAATACATCTAAACTGTACATATAAGATACATGTATATGCTAATCCGAGAGCTAAACCAACAGGAAAATTACCAGAGGTAAAATGATGAATTTACATTATAAAGAAACATTATATTCAAGATATCAAGTTTTAAAAAATTCTGATTATATAGATCATCTACAAAGTTCCAGAATGCATAGGATATAAATGTAGTTGCGCTAATGCAAAAATTATTTTGCCTATTCCGAAAGTAAAAGCAATTCCAGCAAAAGAAAATATTATTATTAATTGGAATATTATGTCGAATAATTCTTATATTCATTCTTATATGATTAGGTGAGACCTTTTATTTCATCAGTTTTTTATTCTACTATATTTGAAAGAATTCTATTTGCCTACAGCATCATTTGCACACAAAGCAATTACCTACAAACATTATTATGCATATTGCAAATATGATCTTGCTGCATATGCAACTATATTGTACATATAAAATATGTAATATATATAAAGTTTAAAAACTATGGAACTGAATAATTATAAACTTTGTTACACATAGAAAACAATGGATAATATGGATCTCATTATTATGCATGAAAAATTTAAAACTCATACATAGAAATTATATACCTCATCTCATATTGAAAGTATCAGATATTGTACCATTATGTGTTTCGATTCCTCTATGTGCA